CTTATTCTTACAAAAAATAACAGTTTTCAATTGCCAGTGACCATGCGCTGTTTTCAAGGCAGTGCTTCTGGAGCTGGGTGGCAATATTCCAGTTTGTGAGCAAGCTCACAGCAGGTTCCACAGAAAAATTGTAGATACTCATCATGGAGATCTGCCTCTTTTCTCAATCAGCTCCACAGTCATCTTTGGCTGCAGCCGAATCTGCAGCCAAGGTAACAGCAATGGTGATTCTGCTCCATTCCTCCTGATTGAAGTCCTTGGGGACTTTCTGAAGGTCACATAGTGAGTCAATGACATTGTCTGTAATATAACTCAGATCTCCAGCCACTCAGTGCTGTACCTTAAATGCTATATGTGTTGTGCCAAGTATTAAGTGAGGGGAATGTGAGCCACTTGGGATGCCTGGTGTCACTGTGTTCATTTGTACATCAGTACCCAGAATACTTGGATAATTTTATTCAAAGCATATTGGGGTTTCAGCCTTGGTGCAAACAGAAAGTTATGGATGGGTGGACAGATAGAGGCCTGTGTGTATGTGGGTGCATCACTGTGGGTTCCAAAAGCAAAAAGTGCTATGGAAAGCTTTTTCCAGATTGACCCCCATGCCCATATTAAGGCTTCAAGCAGATTGATTAAAAACTGCAGAGCAGTGGTAGGCAACGTACGGCCTATCAGTGTTCTACCTGCAGCCCCCACACCCTTCCCCTCTCTCCTCCCCCCCCCATGCCTCTTGCACACTGGGAGCCCTGCACTTACCTACTCTTCCTACTTACCCCTTTGCTCCCAGCACTTCTGGAGCACCGTGAATCAGGTGATTCACGCCCCAACCCCACCCTCGTAGACCTTGAGTGCTACAGAGGAGCTGATTTCAGCTTTCCTTCCCAGTTATGTGCATTAGGGGTACAACACTTCAATATCTAGAATCAGCTGGCTGACAGGGTTCAAGCTCTGGGAGGGCAGGGTAGGGTAAAGGATTCTAGATGCATGAATCAGCTGATTCACAGTGCTCTGGAAATGCTGGGAGGGAGGAGGAAGAGAAGGGATGGAGTGTACCCAAGGGAGGAGGCAAGGAAGAGGCGCCGAGTAGGAGATTGAGGGAAGGGCTGGCGTGGGGGCAGGCCCTGCAGGAGAGGGTAGGTTCAAGCAGCCTCTGCCAAAATGAGAGGTGACACTCATTTAACGCAAGGGCACGTGAGGTGTATGCTGACTGCACACAACGAGGTGTATGCTGAGTGCCCCCTCTGCTTCTTTATGTTAGTTTTGCCAGCAATTTAATTTGCCCCTAATAATGGATCACTTTGTGCTGAAAAAGCATGGTAAAGAAGGAGAATCAAGTGCAATGTATTTAATTCATTGGGTCACAGCTCATTTCAATCTTGCTGCCCACTGAGATGGAGGGCCACTCATTTGGCCCACTCAGTAGCCTTGGTTGCCTATAACTACTCCAGGTTGTTGCAGCACCTGAACAGGGAGGGAAAGAAATCTTAGCTCAAGCTAGTATTTCCTAGCCAATAAAGGTAGCTCAGTTCAGAAATAAAGGCAATAAAGGTTGTTCAGTTCAGAAAACGTTTATGTTTTGACATCTGATTGAGTTTCCTCTGATTGTTAGCAGTGTTTCTCCTTCAGAATATATGCAATTCTCAGTGTCAGTCAGCCTCTCTTAAACAGCTGCTGCTTAGTCTTGCAGAACATTTTAAAAATCATTCTGTGCTTGATACATTCCCTGTCCTTTCCATGCTGAGGGGAGAATCTTCAGTATCACAGCATTACAGTTTTGCATTTGCAGAAAGAAAGAGTGAAGGAATAAATAGAATCTTCTCAGATCAGGGCATTTTCATGGAGATAAGGGGCAGGTTTTTATATTGTTTCACTCCCTTTATGACAGGCGGTACAATGAGACCGCCAACAGCTTTACTGCTTGCGGATTCCTGGTTGTGCCAGTTCCTTTGTGTCTGTCCCCATAGTAAAGAGGACGGTGGTGGGGACAGGAAGTAAGTGCAGTGGGCTTCACCCCAGCTGACATAGTATCTTTGGGTATGTCCACACTGCAGTTAAAAAAACACATGACTGTCCCATGCCAGCTGACTGATGCTCGTGGGGCTCAGGCTAAGTGGGTGTTTAATTGCAGTTTGAGAGTTTGGCTCTCATACCCTGCAAGGTCAGGAGAGTCCCAGAGCTCAGGCTGCAGCAGTTAAACGGTCTCTTGGTCTGTGCCCCATGAGCCAGAGTCAGTTAGCTCTGGCCATTAACGAGTGTCTAATTGCAGTATACATATGGAGTCCATAGACACATGGCATAAGATAGAGCATCCCTATGACTGTTCTAACATGGGCTAGGGCTTGGACAGAGAATCAGGAAGCAGCAGAGACTCTGGCTCAAAATCATTCCTGTTTTTAAGATTTCATATTCTCTAGCTACTCGGTCCTTGCCTGAAGGTATCATTTTGTAACCTTGATACAACCTTTGAGACCAACCTCTTGTTCAAGCGTCACAGCTGGTTACTGTGAGAAATTATCCTTATGTCCTAAGGATAGGATTATGACTCCAGGTGGCAGAAAAGCAGCAGGAACAGATAAAATTGCAAAGCTAAGACTCGAAGAGCCAGTTTAATCCCATGAGTACTCTCTATTATTACCAGCTATATATTGTAGAACTGGAAATATTTATTGTAAATTAATATATTTGCCATATCAGTTGACTTGAAAAATCATTGAAAATGAACTTGCCATGATAGATCATCCTAGCTTCCCTCTGAATGCCAACTGGGAGCATGAAAGTGATTTAATGCAAATCTATGCTCAGTCTCTTTTGCTCTAAAGTAAACAGTTCTGTGGGTCCCATAGTCTGCAAGTGGAAATTCTTCTGTCATTTGTCTTGCAAGATCTGAGTCAGAGATTCCGAATTTCCTTTTATGATGAATCAATGGTAAATGCATAGCCTAGTGTAGGGGACAGCAGGCTGGTAAAATTTTCAACCGTGCCTTAGTGAGTTAGACTTCTAAGATCCACAAAGGGATTTAGGTGCTTAGCTGCTTCTTTAGATGCCTAAATCCAAAATTTAGATCCTCAAAACCTCTGCTCAGTTACCATCTACCTTTTGTAGGTGCCTAAATCCCTTAAGCATTTAAGTTTTTGCTAGTAAAGTTATCTAGGTGCTTAAAATTCTTCCGCTAGGCATGTACAAGCCTGCCCAAGTGTTGACTCCCAGCCCCTAACTCATGTCTAAGACCCAGCATGTTCCTCAAAGTAGACATCATCCTGCCTATTGCATATGTGGGGCCCAGTAGTCCTGTGGTTGGAATACTCACCCAGACACTCAGGTTTGGACAGGGTGTGGTGGGTGGTGTGTTTTTTCTTTCTTTCAGTGAATAGTTATGTTGCTGAAAAATGCATTTTTCAGGGAACCAAAATTACTTGTGAATTTGTCAAATATTACAAATAGCTATGGCCAACCTCCTCCCCCCCCAAAAACCCCAACCCTATAAATCAAACACCTAAAAAATGTCAAAAGAGATCATGAAGAAGAGACCTTTTTGAATCAACATTGAAACATTTGTTTTGATCTCAACAAAAAATTTTGTCAAACTGGAACATTCAATTTTTTTTCAAAACTGTTCATTAACACAGCTCTCATCATCTCATCCAGGTTCAAATTCCATCTCTACCTCATGTGGAGCAGATATTTGAACTCAGATCTCCTACCTAATGGGTGATTACTAGGCTATGGGTTTCTTTAAAATGGGCATCTTGGTCTTTCCTGTTGAGGCTATTCTGCTCTGTGAAATATTTAAATATTGATTGGGCCAGAGAGAGAATGGAAGTGACTATATAAGCCAGGAGTGGGCAATAATTTTTTGCCAGGGGCCACTTCAGAAATTTTTGAAGTAGCCCTGTGCCGCTCTGGAAAGCACAGGGCCTGAAATGGAAGGGGCATAGCCCACGGAGGCCCTTTTGCCCACTTCAGATATAAGCCCAGAAGTTAAGGCACTTACCTGAAAGCTGGAAGACCTGGGTTTAAATCCCTATCCCACAGAGAAGCAATCCAAATCAGAGCTCCTTGGTTTCTTTCAAAGAAAAGCTTGTGTTGAACAACGAGCCAAAGCACATAAGTCAGAGCCTCTAAACATTAAGCAGTTCAATGCTGAGCCTAAGTCGTCATGGTAGATTCAGCCCAACATTTCATAGTCACTTTTGTAAAGGGAACCCATGCTTTGAAGTCATTCTGGTGCTTTAGATAATTTTACCTTGAGAATTAAGAGAATTGCTTTCTGTTCTAGCTTCCACCTTTGACTTACTGAGTTTGGTCAAGACAATTAGGCTGTGTCTAGACTACACCTCTCTGTCGACAGAGAGATGTAGATTAGGAATGTCAAAAATGCTAATGAAGCCGGAATTTAAATATCCTGTGCTTCATTAGCATGAACTTGGCTGCCGCTTTTTTTTCCGACACGGCGCTTTTTCAGAAAAAAAACAAAACTCAGCAGTCTAGACGGGGTTCTGTCAAAAAATAAACCCTTTTCCAACAGATCCTGAATTCCTCAAAAATGTTACAGGATCTGTCGAAAAAGGGCTTATTTTTTGACAGATCCCCGTCTAGACTGCCGTTTTTTTTCGAAAAAGCTCCGTGTCGAAAAAAAGCGGCGGCCATGTTTATGCTTATGAAGCGCAGGATATTTAAATCCCTGCTTCATTAGCAATTTCGACGTGCCTGATCTACATCTCTGTGTCGACAGAGATGTGCAGTCTAGAGATACCCTCACTCTCCTTGTGCCTCAGTTTCCCACTAACAAAAGCATACACCTACTCCCTGTGTATCTGTCTAGGTATTTCAACAATTCCCATCAGCAGAGAATGCAATTTACCTTTGCAAGTCAGAGTTTAGTATTCTTTCTCCATTACCATAAGATTGCAGGATCATATGTCAAAGTAGAAATTTTCTCTCGTCTAAAATGTATGCTTTTATTTTTGGAGATCTCTGGAATTACATTTCCTTTTGTACAGGTTTTGGCTTCAGATCATCACTTCATGGGAAGAAGAATCTGATGCAGTTGTTGCTTTTGACAATGTCTCTCTTAGCTTGGACTGCTATCTGACAAGTAAGTGTGCCTCTTGCTAACCTTTTATTTGTGCCCAGGTGAAGGGGTAAAATTGTACCTGTGTGCAAATGAAGGAGACTTTTACTAAATGTTTTATCAGTCAGCTTTAGCTTTGACTTTGTATTTGAACGGATAATGGTGGAGGAGTAGAAACTACAAATCCAGATGGTGGCATCACCTGCCTACACCGTATGGCTCAAAAGCCAATTTTTGGTTGCAAATTGTTCTTCCTGAATGGGTTTGTCATCTCTGACAATAAACTGATTAAATAAATAGAAACTAGAAAAAATCAAACCTAGGTATTCTGTGAATGACACTAATTTCATAAGAGCATCAGCTTAAGTGTTCTTGTTGGAATAGGGCTGTTTCATTTGACTCTTGCAAAGGATATGTCTCAATCAAAACCCAGAATCTAAACTGTGCTCCAACCTTCAAAGGAAGTTTGGATCTAGTCCCAAATTTTATGGCTGTCTCAATAGCTATAGCTTGCCCAGCCTAAACACTGGGTTAAAGAATCACCCCATGGTCTTGGGAGGTTTAGATTTGGATTCAGCATTTATGGCTGGCCCATCTCTAGTCTCATATGTGGCAAATTATCTAATTTGTAAGTGTGTTAAATGATCTCAGTATCTTCCTGCAACCTTGAACAGAAATTGATGTGAAGGTGAAATGGACAAACTTTAAATAGCAAATCAATAGAGTTATGTGTCTACCATTCCTCTTCAAGAGCTGTCCCTGTGAGTGTTCCACTCTAGGGGTACGTCTAAACTACAAGGCTCCGTCGACGGAGTCATGTAGATGAATTTACTCGACAAAGGGAAATGAAGCGGCGATTTAAATAATTGCCGCTTCATTTAAATCAAAATGGCCACCACTCTGTGCTGATCAGCTGTTTGTCGGCACAGCGCGGCAGTCTAGACGGAGATCTGCCGACCCCAGAACCCTTCGTCAGCAGATCCTTTATGCCTCGTAAAACGAGGCTTACAGGATCTGCCGACACAGGGTTCTGGGGTCGGCAGACCCCGTCTAGACTCGCCGTTTCATTTCCCTTTGTCAAGTAAACTAATGTACATGACTCTGTCGACAGAGCCATGTAGTCTAGATGTAACCTAAGGTGTCACAGGACTCCTTGTCGCTTTTGCAGATCCAGACTAACACAGCTTCCCCTCTGATACAATCTATTCACTATCAGAGGGGTAGCCGTGTTAGTCTGAATCTGTGGCACCTTATAGACTAACCGAGGTGTTGGAGCATGCATCTGACGAAGTGAGTCTTTGCCCATGAAAGCTTATGCTCCAACATCTTGGTGAATCTATTCACTGTCTTTTTTCTCCTTTTTTTCTCCTCCCCACTTCCCCCCGTTTCCTTATTTATTCTTGGATCTGGACTTTTAATACTCCAGTCATCTGAAGAAGTGGGTTGTGTCCACAAAATCTCATGATACCATCTACATGTTTTGTTAGTCTTTAAGGTGCTACTAGACTATTCGTTGTTTTTTAAGTTTTTTTAAGCAGTGACCGAACATCTCAAAAGACGAGGGCGTAGCAGTTCAGTTACTTTACATTGTGCTGCAGCATCATGAGTGCATATAAAGTCCAATTCACAAGTGATAGTTCTTGTCACAGATAGTGCAGGGGGAGAGAACAGGGTCAGATGTCACCAGCATATTTAGTAGCAATTGGTGTTGGTACATGCCAGCATCATTGATCAGAGATCTGCAGCAGCTGTGCCTGGCTGGGATACACACGCACAGTTGGTGTCTCACAGAACCTGAGAGTCCATTTGACATGCATGTGTTCCAACCCCCCTCAGCTTTTTCACAAACGTCCGCTGCTGAAGAGAGAACTCAGAGCAGTACTTCATCTCCTCCTGTAGTTAGATATATAAAAAAAATACAAAGATAAGTTAGAAAACCTCATCTAATTTCTCCCTTTCCTATAGGAAGTTAATATAGTTGTTAGTGTTAACCCCCCTCCTGCTCCCTCTCCCCCTCCCCACACACACAGCTATCAGTGTCCCCATTGAAGAGTGACTTCCCAAGCCAGCTCTCCATCATGCCAGGCTCCCCCAGATTCCAAAAGTACATCTCATGTTTGGAGTCCATGCCATGATCCAGCAGGCACTCCCTTTGTGTCACATGTCTGGGTGAGATGCATATCCCATCCAAATGCATCCACTGCAAAAATCTCAAGGTCAGGGCTTGTCACATTTGAGACCTCCACCTGAAAATAATTTGAATGAAGAAATCTCTCCAGTTGGCCTCACAAACAAGCGAACCTAAACTCTCGGCCAAATGGTCTCCCTCTCGTTCTGAACCAACCAAGGAGATGGTTCAGTCCTCCTCAGGAGAAGAGGAAGACAGCCTTGTCCTCTCCCCCGAGGGAATTGCATACCAAGAAATGGTCCCTGGTGAGACTGTTACCACCAGTAAGGCTTCCTCTAGAGCCATAGTGTCCAACGTGCTAGCCACTAGTCACATGTGGCTATTCAGCCGGTTGAGTGTGGCTAGTTGGCATGAATAATGTGCCTAGTTTGCTATAGCAGTAACCACTATAGCAGTTACTGCTTTAGAACTGGTTGGACATCACGGCTCTAGAGCAGGAGTGGGAAATAAGCAGCCTGCAGACCAGACACGGTTAGCCCCTGGTGGGCTGCCAGATGCTTTGTTTACCTGCACGTCCGCAGGTATGGCTGCTCATTGCTCCTGTTGACTGTAGTTTGCCATTCTAAGAAGCTCTTGCAGCTGTCAGTGGCTGGGAATGTTGAACTGCAGCCAACGGGAACTGCAAGCAGTTGTAACTGCAGACATGCAGGTAAATAAAGTGCCTGGTATTTTACTTAGAACAAAAACCTTCCACAAATTTCTCAGACTTTTCGAATCCATTGCTGACTGATCCAAAGGTTCAGCTGTTTCAAAACAATGCTTATCCAAGTGGATATTAGACTGCATTAAGGCGTGCTATTGAGAAACACAATCTCGATGCCCCTGAAGGCATATGCATGCATGCCACCCACGTAGTCTCCATTTCCACAGCTTTCCTACACGATATACCTCTGACTGAGATATGTAAAGCAGCCACTTTGAAATCACATACATTTGCCACAACTAAGACTCTACTAAGCTGCAAATTACTATCTGCCACTACCAATTAAGCAATTCCAAAGTCTTCCCAACCATAAGGGACACTGCCCGTCACCTGGAGTGGAGCACCCCCAAGGACAACACTAGAAGGAGAGAGGGTTCCTCACCTTGCACAATAACTGAAGTTTTGAGATGTCTCCCCCTGTGGGTGCTCCACTACCCACCCTTTTCCCCTCCACTTTGGAGTTTGACCTAAGGAGCCCTATAGCAGAGAAGGAACTGAGGGGTTGGGAAAGGCGTGCACCAAATGGACTTGCAGGTGTTGCAAGATACCAACTGAACACACGCATCCCGACCAGACACTGCTACTGAAGATCTCCAATCAACAGCACCAGGATACACCATCACCTGGAGTGGAGCACCCAGAGGGGCACACATCTCAATGAATCTCAGGTTGTGCTCTAGTTGAGTAACTCTGTCTTTTAGAACTGAAATCTTGGTGAGGCCTACTCTGATAGACTGTATCCCTTTCAGATCTCTATTTCAGTGTATGGGCTTCATTTGCTTTGCGTTTTTGTTCAGGATGCTTTCCTCCTGACACCTTTCCTCCTTCATTTGTTTCAACTCCCACAGCAGCGGGAGAAAAAAAAAACCTTCTGCTCTCCCATTGTTTTGCCTTGTGGCTTGGCAGACTCTTGACCCAGGCAGAGTGGCTGCCAGTTGTTACTTACCTCCATTTGCTGAGACACATAATCTCTGAGGGTAGTCATAAACCAGACTGTGGTTTTTTTTGTGTTCTAGTCAATGGAGAGAAGACTTCTCGAGATGCAGCTCCGGACTTGAGCAATCTTCTCACCAAAAAAGACAGCCAGAAAAGGATCAGATTGGAACAAAAGATTCTAGAAAGCCTCCAACTCAACACTGTTCCCGTCTCTGGTCCTGCAGGTAGGGAATTTCTATGGCTGAGAATCATTCCAGGGCACTCAGCTTTCACAGTAGTTCAGATTTCAATTGAACACAGTGGAATCCAATATAGTTTATTATCAAAGAAAACATAAAAAGCCTTTCACAAGTCCCTGGAAAAACTAAACCCATCGGAGGACATCAAAATGTAGTAGGTTGCTAATTAAATTAATTTGGTTTGTGAGCTACAAAAGAAAAAAACATGAAATAGTGTAATGGTCACTTTGAGATTGTAAATTTGTTTGGCCTCTGGATCATCTGAAAAAAAAAAAGCCATTCTCAAAGAAAATTACACAGGAAAGTCCACATCACTAATCTAGTCCATCCCTGTTTAGACCCAACTTCCTAGTTTGCATCTACTAGTGCCACTTCCCCTCTTTTTGGTATTAGTTTCAACTCCAGATTATTTTAATCTAGTGAAAGAGCTCCTCATCCAATCTCGGTCTCTCCCCTCCCCCCCAACCAAATTTATTTCTATTCGCCTTATTTGCATCACTGGCTTCCAGTCCCAGTCTCCACTACTCGCAGTTTCCATTCCCAGTCTCCTTGCCCAGCTATGTTCGGGTATGTCTACACTACAGCGCTATTTCAAATTAACTTAATTAATTAATTTGAAATAGCTAATTCGAATTAAGCTAATTTGAACTAACGCATCTATACACAAAAACTATTTCGAAATATCAAAATGTTATTTCAAAATAGCATGTCCACATTGAGTCGACCCTGAACCGAAGTTAAGGCTGTCTGGAAACAGTGCTGGCAGGGCTTCAGGTTAGGGCTTAGTGTGTGGGGCTGCTGCCTGAGGCTAACTGAACTCCGTGCTTAAAGGGACCCTACCCCCACCCCGGACAGACAGTTCTCAGGGTTCCCCGCTTGCTTGTCTATCTCGATGAGGGACAGTAAAGCAGTCCTGTCTTGGAGTGCCCTAAGTGCCCAGACTCAGGACACGACAGCACTAGGCCACATGGAGCCAGAGCTGCCCCTGGGCACGCCGGTGCATCTTGTGGGATCATTGCCATCAGCCCAGCTGCACTTGCTGCAGGCTGCCATCCGGGGAATCCATCGGGGGGGCTGTCAGGATCCAGGAGGCCCTGAGGGAGAGCATCCACTCTGAGGAGCCCTCAGAGCCTCCCTGGTCCTCCCCACCGGGGGCTTGTGCCCCAGTCCTCCCTCACATCCTTCCACTTACGCCTCCCTAATCCTCCTTCCTGATGTCAAATAAAAGACACATATGTTCAAAAATAGAAACTGGGTTTATTGAACAAAACTGGGGGGGGGGATGAACCTCTGGGGAGACTGGGAAAAGGAGGTGGGAGAGGGGAAGAGAGATGGTGGGAGAGGGGAGGGGGAAACCTGGGAGGAAGGAGCTGGAAGGGGGAAGCAAGGGGAAGAAGGGGAAGGGGAAGTTCAGGGCTCAGGGTTGGGGGTCTCGCTGGACCAACTTGACTTTCATGCTAACCTGCTCCTGGGTTCACATGTGGCCTTTGGTGGCTAGGCTGGCAGCCATTCGCTTGTAGACGGTTGCATTCCTCCATTTAGTGGGGAGATCATAGACGTTGGAAGCATCCCCCCAAACCTGAATTAGGTCCCTGATCTCCACACTGGACCAGGCAGGAGGTCCATGATCTCCACCCTGGACCAGGAAGGCGCCGGCCTTCTCTAGCCCATCAGACTCCTGGGAGCTGGCAGACTGCTCCAGTGGCTTGCTGGCTCATATTTTGGGGCCTCTGGATCAGGGGCCCTGGTGGCCAGTGCTAGCTCTGGGCTGGCAGAGTTGGAGCTGGCACAAGCGCTGTGGACAGAGTCTACCCCTTTAATGGCTCCAGGGCTGGGGGAGAGGAGAGTAAGTTTTCCTGGTTGTGCCCAGAGTGGCCACCAGGGCTCCCTGGGAAGGGCTGGAGGCCTCCTATTTCGAATTAAGTATCTACACAGCACTTAATTTGAAATAGCTATTTTGAATTTGGCATTACTCCTCATAGAATGAGGTTTACCAAATTTGAATTAAGGGCTCCGCTATTTCAAATTTAATTCGAAATAGCGGTTTGCATGTATAGACGCTATTAAAGTTAATTCGAAATAATGGCTGTTATTTTGAATTAACTTTGCAGTGTAGACATACCCTTAGAGAGAATCTGTGACTCCTTATACTCACAGTTTCTCTCCTCTCACTCTCTGTTCTTAGTCTCAGTCGACTTTGTCCCCTCTCACCAGCGCTCGTCCCCTCTGCATTCAAATCAGACATCCTCATTTCCTCTTTCTGAGCACTGGAGAAGGAGTCATCAGGAGCGCAGGAGAGGGAAGCTCTCATGGATATGTTTGCTTCAGTTTCTATTGTCTGTTACGTGGGCAGCTGATTTTCATGAATGAGGATCAGAGCTATTAACAAGTTATATATCTACCAACTTCAGATAACATCCTTTCTTCTGGGAGATACCCCTCCTGAAGGTTGAGGAACCCAGGGCACTAAGAGGGTACGTGATTTGTAAACCCCGTTAACAAGCTCTGAAATTTGTTCACACTTCCTTCCCACCAGGCAACTGAACATTTACCCTAGAGTAGTAGTAGCAACAGAAGGAATATGCTATAATTCTCTCTAGCAACTATTGTACAGCAGCAGAATACTAGAACAAAAGTTGGTAGTTAAGGAATTGGACTAGAACTTGAGATCTGAATTCAGTTTCTGAGGCTACCATAGACTTCCAGTGTGACCTTGGTTAAGTCACTATGGGTAACATCTGCAGCAGCTCCAAAGAAATATAGGATCGTAAGTTGCATTTTCAAAGGGAGTTAGGAAACTAAGTCTTATGGAACTCAGTCATGCTTAGGAGCCTAAAATGCACTTTTGAAAATTAGATTCCTAATTCACTTAGGCACTTTTGAAAATGTTAACCTTAATTTCTCTGTGCCTTAGTTTCCCATATATAAGTGGGGATAATTATGCTGTCCTACATCACAGAGATGTTGTGAGAATTATTTACTGATGTTTGTGAAGCGTGATCCTGTGGTACGAAGAACCATAAAAGAATCAACAGAGTTGACTGCCCATAAGAACATGGGCAGTCAGTGAAGGTGGGGTGGGGGAGGCAGGACCACTCCACAAAGTGGATAGGAGGCGGGGCAGTATGTTGAGCGCACCCTCACCATCACCATGAGGAGGGGAAGAGAGGGCAGAAGGTGAGCGTGCATGCACCCCATGCTCCCCAGCCCAGAGTACAAGGGAGGAGAGTTCATGGCTCCAGCCTCCCCGGCCCCAGAGTACGGGAACGGCTGGCAGTGGGGCCAGCAACACTCCACCTCAGTACGCCTACAACAGGTGTTGCGGGGGAGGATAGTGGGCGGGGCCATGCCTGGTGGTTTGGGAAGGCAATGCCTCCCCCCACCTAGCATACGGAACACCCATACACTGAAATGCAAGCACTGATATTCCTGTGCAACTGACACATGGTATAGCATTTTTCCTACAGAGACACCCTGCTTTAGGTAACCTTCTCCCCTTTCTTTCCCTCCCAGTGGTGGTGGGAAAACCATTTGATAGCATTGCACAGAAGAACTAACAAGCATTAAAATCACTTTGTTCTCTCCTATCACATTCCCCCATCACTTTCCTTTCTATCGATGCACGTACAGATCACATCTGTAAAGCCCAACTATCCTAACTGTTAAAAAAAAAAAATCAATCCATTCTGAATGGAGCTGTTTCAGCTCCCCTGTGGCCACTCTTACCAATTTCCCGTAGAGGGGGAGTCACGTTTGTCTGCAAATAGCTGCTTCATGAAGAACCTATTCCCTGAATAAAATAAGGCCTCTTGCCTTAGAATCACAGAATCATAGAACACTAGAACTGGAAGGGACCTCAAGAGGTCATCGAGTCTAGTCCCTTGCCCTCATGCCTTTTTTTTTTTTTAAGCAATGGATGAACCTCGGGTTCAGTTTAGATTAGTGTCCAAAATGTATCCAAATGTAATCTAAGCTTGTTGAGTCTGCAAGGTAGAGCTGGGAATCTCATAACAACATGCTGCCCTATCAAAATGCCATTACTTCTAGCTTCTTTCTGGTCTGGAAATACTGAGGGAACAGGATATTTCTGCTCAACTTTGTGTCCCATCTGATATCTTGCAATTCAAACAGGTAGCTGTAGCAAACAGGTAGAGACTGAACCTCTCTTAACTGGGACTCTCTGGTCCGGCAGCATCCCTGGTCCAGAAAGACCAGGGATGTTCCAGGACAAGAGAGTCCCATGGACAGCTGGGGGCTGGGAGTCCAGCAGCAGGGCTTCCTCCTGGTGGTGACACTGGGTGGGCCTGGGGGGCGGGAGGCAGCAGTAACACTGCCTGACAGGCTGGAGCCCAGCAGCAGGACTGCCATCTGGTGGCGACACTGTGGAGAGGAGGAGAAGGGAGGATGGGAGGCAGCAGGGCTGCCTGGCAGGGCTGGAGCCCAGAAGCAAAACTGCCCAGCAAGACTGAGAGGCAATGGGGTTACCTGGTGGTGCACCTGGGAACCTGGCAGCAGGGCCGCCCCGCTGCACAACCAGAAGCCCAGCAGCACAGTGGGACTAGGAGTCAGTGGGACTGTCCCGAGGGGCCAGGAGCCTGATTACAGGGCTGCCCAATGGTGGAGCCAGGAACCCAGGAGTGGAACTGCCCTCTGGCACAGCAAAGAGCCCGGCAGTCCTGCTGCCACTCGGTGGATCTGCCCAGTGAAGCCGGAAGGCAATGGGACTGCCCAGCACGGCTGAAGTCCAAGCGGGCCTGTCACACAGCAGCGCAACTGGACCCTAGAAGGGGCCTGTGCAGGAAGGCCGGGAGCCCAGTAGCAAGGCTGTGCTAAAGGCAGCAGGATTCACCCGGTGGGGCCGGGAGCCCTGTGCTGAGGGGCCAGTGATAGGGGGAAGCCACGGGGAGGCTGGCCACAAGGCCATGGCTGAGGAGCCCAAGGGCAGGGGGTAGAAATCACCTTCCCTGGTCCAGCAAAATCCCTCA